GAAGTAATTAATTCATATATTTTTGTTCTTTGTGATGATTTAATCGATGCACTAATTCGTTCAAGTTTTGTAATATAGCAATTACCTTATCCCACCCCAACTTTCTGGTAAACGTCATTTGTTCACAGAAACAAGTTAAAGCTGGGAATATCGATGATCACTTAAAAATAAAGCATGAAAAACAAGTGAGATTCCATGCGAAAACAAGTACAGATTGATGCAAATACGTTTCCAGAAACTTTTTTAGGTACTAATCGTTCGATAAACGTATCTTCCATATAAGTACTTAGTGAAATTTCAAAACAATCAGACTTTCGAAGATCGGAAAAAGATAATAAAAAACAACGAAATTGGAAAAGAACGGTGCAAATAGCACCTGTTCAGTACACTTGTTACAAAAAGTAGAGGTAGTGATACAGTCGTATTTCTCTGCTGGACGTAGACAATAATTACACCCAAACCGATGTCCATGACCAACCGATATGCCCTCCAAAAACGGTTTGTTCAGATATTTTACTCATTTCCAGAGCAACCAAAGTCTTAAGGTTTTCGAACAAAGGACACCATCTCTGATGTATCTTGCTTTTCATGTATACAATTGTGCAGTACGGTACTTCATCCCGATTGCTACAGGATTGTCCCGTTGATGCTACAAGTAGCAGCTGTACACACTTAGGATATGATCATATGTGATGGGAATGCTTTAGCTATAGTATTGAATAGAAGTTCCACATTTGGAGTTTAAAGTCAGTGTTGCAAGTAGTAGTACTCGGTAAGAATAGAAGATAATTTGAATTTTATCTAAATTTCGAGTGGAAAAACACTAATTCTATATCAGTATCTTTTTTAATATCTGCATGATTCTAGTTTTCAATTCAACCGACTCTTTCATACCGATGACATTACATTAAACTTTAGAAATCTTTGAAAAGTAGTTTCCTATTTACCGAAAAGTCCATTCTTCATAACTTTTGGAGTGTTCAAAACTTCAAAGACAAAGAATAACTTAACGAAATACAGAGACTTCCTCTTCATCCCCAAAGTGGTCCTCAAAATTAGTTCATCCTGTCTTGGATCCATAATGAAACATTTTTGATTACTTTTGAAATGTTCAAAGAGTAGTTGTTAAAATGCAATAAATTTCATTCTTTAATTCAGTTTTCCTTCTCTGAAATAAATATTGAGAATGGAAACATGATAGCTCATAAAAGTTATTTTTATGGAAGTAACACTGATAACTGTTCTACAGCAATCTGTATAGTGGATGGACGAAATTATATGGCTAAACAACATGCATCTCTTCGAACACTTAATGCTCCGCCACATCTGACTTGCATTAAATTACCAATGGCAACAAACTGCATTAGTTTCCTGAAAATTCTGGTAGTTTGATACACACCTTTTTTTTGAAGAGAGGACTGGAGGAAGAGAGGAGAGTGCGATTAGAAGGGAGAGGCAATTTTTTGTATTTCGTTTATATTGACTTAAACACCAATTATTCCTTCGATCCTTCTCGAATCCCACTTTGATATTCTCAAAATCACTATAAAAGGTAATGGGCGATAATAAACCATAAATTACGGATAAATTATCTTACAGTAAAACTAAATAACAAAATTGGAAGTGCTCTTATGTCGCTTTCAAACAAGTATCGCTTATATTATATTTTAAAACATGGTTAGTTTACTTGAGAAATTCACTGGCGAAACATTACAATAAAACCCGAGTTTTAGGAGCCAGTGTTAATGCAAGGCCAATAATCCGGAACCATAGCATTATATATGGAATGTACTTGAGAATTCGCGAAGCACATTGTACCACCTGCACGGAGAAGCTGGCTTTCCTAAAAGTTTTCAGGGGTCTGACTTTAATTAGTTGTAGTTCCTAATAAGTCAATTTCTCGAACTCGAACTAAGTCAACTCCTCGAACTCGAACTGTCCTTTTTCTAGACCTCTAATAATAAAGATTAAACTCAAATTTCAGTTTTCCTTTATCTCTTGGAAAGTACTTAAAAGATTGAAGAAAAAAAAGATTTCTATACCTGTCTATTGATATCACCAATGCAAATCCAAGGCATAAGTACTTTGTGGGCATCCAATGTGGCAACAGCAAATTTGGAATGATCAAATGCGTTTGGAAAAGTGATATTAAAAGGCAGAATAACTTTTTTCACATCTAGAACCTAGTATAAGAATATAAAGTATTAAGCTTCAATATCTAACCACAAAACCACTTATAAAGCCTTTAGGATAGTTATTTCAACCAGTAGCTAAGTACAGCAGTTTCAACATTTACGCACAGTTTTACTGATTTCGGAAGATATTTGAGCAAATAAAGGGAATAGGCTCTAAATATAGTTATTTCAGAAAGGTAGAATAACATAAATGAATACCTTAAAAGAACTGTATTTACGGCACCAAGAGTGCAGATTCCTGTTTCTCGAGGTCTCATGTTGCCAAGTTTCTGTTTTTAATGAACTTTCAAGTGCAGGTGCTACGAGATCGAAATAAAGGTCTGAAATATATGTGATAGTGAGCTGAAATTCGCAAGTGAAGATATCACTAAAAAATAAAACATGTAATACGATGCTACACATCCAAAGAAGAAAATAGTGAATTTATGTACGGTTACTGCCTTTGTTGAATGCACGAGTTTTCGCGAAATGAACAAATTCATGGCCTGCAGAAGAATAAATCACAGCACGACTAACATACGGAGCAGCACGCTGATATTCTTTTGACACCACCTCAAGTTAATATTTTGCTTCAAATTAGAAACTAGTTGCAAACTGTTTTGCTTCCTAAAGCCAATTGCTGAGGAAACATTCTGACCCGGAATTTTTCATTTTCTACTATATGAAGATGTTTTAAACCAACTTTCGCAAGAATAGGTATATCATCGGCCATTTGTGCAGGAAGTTTTTGTGAATAGATGAAAAGGTGATTGTAGTACAGTTGGATAGCTGGAAAGACTTGAAGTTAGAAGCATTCACTTACTTCAAAAATTTGAAGAATAAATTGAAAAACAAATATCTTTTTTTCACTGGTTGAAAACTAGCGAACGGACTTTTGGTGACATTACAAAAGAGATGAGTGAACTTCCAAGGACCGTAAAGTTGAAAATTACCAATTTTATGCAGTTGTGAATAGGACATTGAAACGCACAATCCCATTTGTCCGTAATGACGTCCAGTGATTGGATATTCATAGGTATCGTTTCTGGGAAACTTTGGTACACTGTGTATTAACCAAAAACCATCGCTTTTCCCAAACACTAGAACTCCTAGAAAATTCATGGATTGAACAGAAAAGAGTAGAAAATATAGAGACCCTATCGAACAATTGACCATAAATATTGCAATATCATGGGGGTATCAAGAAGAGTAACAAAGATGTTTGACAGAAACTGTCTCATGAAATCTCAAATTATTTTACAATTATACAATCACACACCTTTAGTATGTCCCGAAGTTCCTGATAAAGTATCATTGTTGGGATATGGAAATTCATCGTTATACATTATATTGAAGACCTGCAAAATGATAACAATGGAGTGTGGAGTTGCTGCACAACAATGTATTTATTCGAGAAGTTCATTTTAGATTTGAGTTTATCGATTTATTTATGCAACATTAGAAATAATGACATCAGAATCTAAGATATTGCAGTTTAGACAGTTTAGACAATCTTCGTTTCTTCTTTGCTGATCCAGGAACTGTACTGAGATAACCAAACAAACAATATTACTCAATACATGTGGTGCGTCATGAATTATGAATTATGAACTAAAATTAAAGAAGGTAACTTCGCACAAGTACCTTAAGCTATAACATAAAATCTCTTGAAAGGAAACCTCCTTTCTATTGGTCAAATAGGAGAACATGCTGAAAATTACCTCAGAATTGTTTGTAGAATCATAATATTGCTGGAGCGTATATCCAATAGCTTGCTTCAAATTACTGATTTCGACTGCCGAAAGTGACCATTCTTGATGGTTTGCATCCATATACAAGAAAGCAAAACCATTACGAACAGACTTTGCGGTTGATTTCTTTATGTGACCAATTTTGTAAAATATGAACCTAAATTGGGAAAATGAATTTTCACAATATTTAATGATATATGAAGACATGTGGTTACAGAGTTAGATTAAGTGTAAGAAAAACTCCAGTATAGAAGCCTTAAAAACATACCAATCCACATTTTGGTTTTCTTGATCACGACATTGGAAATTAAGGCCGATGCATACTTGAAGGATCAGTGAAAACAGCAAGCTGAATTTTAGCAACATTTTTCTGAAACGGATAAGGAAATCTTAAACAATTGACCCTTCAGTGAAATATGGAGCTGAATAGTAACAACAATCCACCGCTTTGCACTCAAAACCTTCAGAAATCTAAAGCCTGGAGAGCAACAATAATCCAGGGCAAATATAGAAAAATCTCGAGTAGTTGTACTGAAAATGGGAAATTTTCTTATTTACCTATCTACATTTTTAGACTTATTAAACGTTATAGCTGCTGACAATGACTTCCATTTCATGACTTCATAAACAAGAGATCGTATAGTTACGCATTTCTAACTTCTTTCCATCAATCTTGCCCAGCATGGAATTTCTTTTGATTAGTGTCCTCTGAAGGAGCCTGATTAAATTTCATCCATTTCATGTAGTGATACTTTGATGCATGAGACAATTCGCAGCTACTTTACGGAATTTACAAAGGCAACTCTTAACAAATCAGGCACTTATGATACAATGTCAGCGTTGCATTCACCGACAAGTGGCAAAAAAGTTTTACAATATAAAAATAAATTAATTCCTGATGCTTGTAACTTCAAAATGTTACTGAAGTTTTTTCAAAAACACTAAAAAAATCATCGAGACAAATTATCACTAGATAACACAACAGTGGCTCATATGATCAATTACAATACAAACATGGGTTAGCATAGACTTTTATACGCATATAACACAGGTATTTTACAAAGATACAAATTAGATGGTGTCGGAATAATGGATGTTGAATGAAGTACAGTGCAACAAAGTTGTGACGTAGGAGCAGTTAAACGCAGATGATATGCTAAATAAATGAGATGATATGCTAAATAAAATGATAGAGATGATATGCTAAATAAAATAGATGATATGCTAAATAAAATAAATGCATCGTAAGTTGAAGCACGACAATGAAATTTATTCGCATTACAAACATACCAGTTTATCGAATTCAAGAGAACAAATGCAAAACAAGTATCTAGAAGAAACTTCTTGTAAATCTATCTCATTAAGTCGGATATATATGACGAAGATTCTATCAACAAGTGAGAGGTGACGGATGAATGAATAGCATTCGCTAAGATCACAATAGAAGCAAAAACTTTTTACTATGTCTATCTAATTAAGTCGAATATAAATGATAAGGATTCTTTGCGTAAAGAAAAATTCTGAGCATACGAGCTTTGTTTTCGCTTGTAATAGAAATACTGCATTTCCATGTAATATTTCTCATCAAATGTATACATAAGAATGGGAAAATGAAATAAAACGTGCTGAATAAATGTATATGAAAAGATAAACAGCAATAAGTGGCAAATAACAAACAACTTCGACAGGACCTTTAACGATATTTAAATAATTTGAAATAACATCAACGACTCAAACTAGCACTCCAAACATTTTTAAGCTTTGAATGGACCAAGCCTATTTAAATATAGTCGAGAATGCTTCTCGAGAGTGAAACACGGCTACTCTGCTAGGTGGATATTATTTTGAATTTGTATTTGGCGATGCAGTCAGCTTTTTCGGAAACTGTGTGCACCCTTAATTTCCAATCGGAAATATCTGAATTAAACAGACGAAAAGAAAATTAAGCAATTTAATTCGACAAGCGATGGAGAATGACGAGTACTAAAGACCTCTTAGCAAGATGTAAAATGTCACAAGAAGGCACTCACTCTTTTTTAGGAATAACCAGAAAACATAGGAAATAGCTCTATTTATTTAACGAACATCTTAGTGGCAACATTTTGCGACTCCTTAGGCGACACCTGTCTATTTCATCTGCTTTCTCATGTAACCGTTTTGTGCGTCACACAGAAGTATAAAAATGAGCCAAAGTTCAGTGACTGCTACTGGATTTTTTCTTTCCTTTCTCTATTTCTCTTGGATTTTCCATTTCTTCGTCACTAACTGTTCCTTTTCTACCTGTATCTTAAACGATAAATGATAAGATGATCACAGTGACAAATGCTGAGTGTTGACAATACAACAATCGATACAACAATTGTAAATTACTGCTGATTTTTTGTAGGGTTTTGGAATAAAGTTTCCCTAAGTTTATTAATTTTATTATTTTGGTTTATGACTGAAAATACCTTTTGTAAATTGTCCCTTTGGGCTAATAACGGAATGGAATGAAGGTAGAGGATCATCCAAGGCAAGTAACTCCTGGTTCGTAAAAACTTTTTCCATAAAAAACATCCTAATAATTACCATGAGAACCAGCTAAAACAAATTACTAATAAAAATAAACTGCGTTACAAGAAGCAATCCACAAATTGTTAATCCGAATTGAGTGACATTAGTTTTGGCCAGCAGTGGGAGTAGCGGAAGCCAGAACTACTTTCATCTAATTGCGAGAAAAGTTTGACAAAATCAATAGCGCAAAGAAGGGCTACCATCAAGGGAAACAGCATTGACATTGTTTTTGTATACTTCACAGCAAATAAACCAGCAATACTGAGAATTTGGAAAAAAGTGAACAGATGGACACGTTTCATACGGACCAATCTCAACCATACATAGTCAGGCTGTAAATAATTATGAAGGAAAAATTTTAACTCGAAAAGAAAAAAAAAGAACTTCAACGTGCATTGATTCATTTTCGATATTTAACCAAGCAAAATTCATTCTCAAAAGTAGGAGATTTTTGCTGAAAAAGATCCTTTTGTCAACCCTTTGAACCAACCTGATATTTGATAGGCATGAAAAGCATGGCAATCCTTTGGATAAATTGCAAACCAAGCATCGAAACAATACCCATATATAAAAATATTCCAATAAGTACCGGGAGAGGTACTAACTGTAAGTTGATCATTTGATTAAGACTTGCTAATTTATTTCAATGACAGTAGTCGTATAAAATCGTGTAAAAAAAAAAATTCGTAATGGAAACGACCTGCAGAAAATCATACCTTAATGACAGGTGTTATGAAAACTGAAAAACCAATAAGCAGATGAGCTATTACGGCTGTCAAACGTTGTTCTCTGAAAAGTTTTACTCACTTGTTTTTTTCGAAGGCCTGTATTTAAGTTGGAATTTTCTAGTTTACGTTTGAACAAGGATTTGAAATTCTGAATAATGACCCACTTAATACCAAGATATTGTGCCTTTTCACCAGGAGCTGATGTATCGGATTGTAGACGAAGCGAATCCACATGCATTACTGATAGCACTGTTCCGGCCACATAAAATGGCAACCCAAGTGAGCCACAAATGACTATCAGCGATGCAATCACCAACAAATCCAAATGGTATCCAAAATCCTTCTGAAATCCTTATGGCAATAGTAATAAGCAGTATCAAAAGTAACTAACCGAAATAGTTGGTGCGATTTTTAGGCTTCATAACCCGAATGGATATGCTCCATTCGTTCATTCGTTAGCTCATAAGCTGTCCAAAATCAACATATAACACATAACTTGAAAACGATTTTATTCATTTCAATTCAAAAAAGTCATACCCTCAGTTTATTATCTTTCCGGTTGATAATAACAGCAGTGATCTGTTGATCCATAACAATCAGGATTGTGTAAAATATAGCTGGTAGCATAGCCATCAAAGCAACATACCAATCCACTGATAATGGGTTGATAAGCCATGGACGGTCGATCGTTGGCTGAAATACTATTACTTACGATGGAAACATTTTTGTTGTAGATTGGACCTTCAATATTTATTTCTTATCCTTTGTACGATGAACAAAGTGAATCTCTAAATGAACAAAAAAAAGTATAAATGAACAAACCCGAAAATTGGCAGGAATATTAAGCACAGGTAAATCAAGACCTATAAATTTCGAAATAACTGTCATCACGACAATAGCGATGAAAACACCGAAATCCGATATGCTGTTGCGAATCTGGAATGAATTTCCAGTTAAATTTCTAATTAAATATTCAAACATTTTGAGTATAGGAAGCAAATCAAAATCAAAATTGAACCAAACCACTTCAAAGTAGATGAAGGCAAAAACTGTTTTAAGAAAATAGCAGGTCTTGGAATCAAAGTTTGACTTTGTACTTCCGATTGTCAAAAGAAATCTAACGCTGAAAAAACAAAAACAAACAAAAATGCTGGATTTTTGCATGCAACCCTTCTTTTTAATTCCCAAAATCCCAAAGTTTTCCTTAAAATGTACCGTGGAATTTAAAAAGTGTGTCCTTCTGAAAATGTTTAGGCCATAAGCCAATGCGAAAGTTCCAAAGGTTAGCAAGATGGATAACATGTAAACATCGGGCTTAAAGTGACACTGTAATCCAGAAGCTTCGCCTCCACGTTGACGACATTCTACAATGATATGGCCAGCATTATTATTCACTTATTTGCAGTAATATCATTATCATTTAACCTTTATTAGTGTTTTGGGAACGCTAAATTAAGTATTACAGTGGCACAAAAACAAGCGCGCTAAAGCATCTATTTCGCAATCGTTTATTCTCCTAAAGACTTGATAAATCTCTATTCACAAAACGGCAAATTCCTGATTATACAAACCTTCAGCATCGATATCCATGATCCTTGGTCTCACAGTAATGTTGTTTGAAAGTATCACTGGCTTGTTTAGGTAACAAATGCATGGTGAATCAAATACTCTCTATTAAATACAATAAATTCCAAAAAATTAAACGAAAGAACTCTGACTCTACAGAACTATGTTTTAAGCTATTGGGTCATCTGCAAAACTAAATACTTCACAAAATTATAATTTCTCCTTAATATATGGTTAGCAAGGTTGAAGTTAAAAGATAATCAGGTGCGAGTATCAGCCAAAGATTCTTTCAGGTGGACCTTCGATGACGGTACACCATCTTCTTTTCATTTGATTAAGGATAAGCAGTAATAAATTTGGAGGATAAGTAATAAATTTGGAAGATAAAAGATTTTCCTCAAAATATTATTAGATATGCAGAAGACAAAATAATTAATTAAAATGAACCTTAGGGTCAACAATGATTGGCGCATCGTGACTGATTTCAACAAGTTTTTCAAAGGATTGAATTATGAAGAC